AACTTTTCAATTACTTTATTAAAGTAATGTAACTGATTACATTTGATTACTTTTTGATTACTTTTCAAAATTTCTAACATTTTCAACTGTTAATCATTTTCAAACATGTAAACCAGGCAAGGTTAACCTCAACACTGAAAACTGTCAGACTTTCAAAATCCTTCATCACTTTAATTAAGATTATAATATTTTAATTTTAAAGAAGAAATTGGATGCAAAATATCTTCATTTGCATATAAAAATGTGTCTTAGCAGTGTGTGGACATAGCCACCCTACAATGATAAAAAATCGCTTCTTTTTTAAATCCCCCAAAAACCTAAACAGTCTCAATTATCAAGCCATTTTGATTTTGGAGTGATTACCAGGGCTCTCTTCCACCTTCAATACCACGACTGAGGTGAGAACCTTGAGCAAGGCACCAAACCCCCAACTGTTCCCCTGTTTTTTTGTTTTTTTTTATGATTATTTGTGAATCGCATTTGCTCTTCCACAGAAGAGAGGGGCGGGGGGAGCAGAGCTCATTAGCATGTAAAGAGATATGCACCAAAACGAGTCGCTGTGAACAGAGCTGTTTTTGACAAGGTAAAAAGGGTGTTGTTTTACACGACCACTGAGACCATTTCAAGAATACCCTAAAGAATCATACCAACCTGGAAAATGGGCATCCGATGTCCCCTTTGAAGCACAGCCACCACAAAATCAGACTTACTTTAAATCAGGGGTTCTCAAACCTGTCCATGAAGTACCCCCAGCACTGCATGATTTGTATGTCTCCCTATATCTGACACACCCACTTCAGGTCATGCAGACTCCACTAATGAGCAAATCATTCTGAGGTTAAATACATATTTAAAATCATAACAAGAAATAGTTTAATAGCTATGATACTGTTTTTGAGCTATGACAGGAAACACTGTAATCTAACAATGCCTTAGAAAAAAAACAGTTAATCTTAAAAAAATCTGTCCTCGTTTAGTTTAATTATTATTCCTGGCACCTGTGTTTGTTAATTATCCCCAGTATTTAAGTCCTTGCCTCTGCGTTTTGTGTTTGTCGGTTCTAATCGTTATGGTTGTGTGTTTCCTGCCAATTCCAGTGTGGATGTACCCTGTGTTCCGTGGATTAAAGACTGTTTTTGTTTATTCGTGCCTCCTGCGTGCTTCCTAAACCGCGAACTGTGACAGAAGAACCGACCAAAACCGTTACCTCCGTGTCTACCCTCCGTTTTTGTTTTTCGTTTTTGTACAGTATTTTTTGTTTCCGTAGTTCCCCTCATGGATCCCTTCACCTGCCCGAAATTCCTCCTCCTGCTGGAGCAGGGGGACAGATCTCTCGAGGACCATACAAGACTGTTCTGGCTTTTAGCTAGCACCCCCAGCTACGTGGACGACGCGCAATAGTTTGAAGCGCCGTCGTCCGAGGGTGGTCCTCGAGAGGATTTTGTTGCCTTCGTGGAGTGGACTCTGGCGTGAAACGGATTGCCATCCACCACCTGCCCCGTGGATGATCTGGTCAGGTCCACTCCAGACCCAGCGGCTCCAACTCGGCTCCTAGCTCCCTCACCTCCACTGTCACCCGTCGATCCACCATCTCCAGCACCAGCTTGGTCAGGCATCGACCCGCAATCGCCTCAGGACTCTGCTCCTCCGGCTGCACCTTGTCGCTCTGTCCCACTGGCTCCGTTGGGCTCCTTCCTCCCGCCAGCTCCACCTTGGTCAATAAACACATTTATCATGCATAAGTCGAAGACCATTTGATGCAAACCCAAAAAAAATTGCATCTAGCTTATAATCTCTTGAACATGGAAACACAACAAATCCATTTGTCTTAAAGTGGTGGAACATAGTGCAGCCATTAAGTTACCCCAACAGGGTATTGTGTACCAAAAAGTTAAATGAAAATAGAACGAAGAAAATATTACATCTATATAATAAAAAAGGTATACCTGAAAGAAAATTACGCATTTAACTTTGGTTACTAACATTCTGCATAATATCATCGTTTGTGCTCAGCAGAAGAAAGAATCTCATAGGTTTGCAACTTGAAGATGACACGGACACAATTTCCATTTTTGGGTGAACTTTCCCATACGTAAGCAGTTTTAGTATAAGCAGCCTACAAGGAGTACTGCAGTGAATGTACAAGTAGTTTTATAAATTTACATAAACATATTTGCGTACTATACTTTGTGATGTAAAATATCACACATTTTATGAATAGGCACATATTGATTAGGTCAAATGAATTAAGCCTGACATAAGTCCTTGATATTCTTTAAATTAATGATATTCTTTTTAATATATATGATTATTTAAATAATTATCATGTGTAGGCTACACCCATGATTGTTTGTTTATTTATTTACTTATTATTGAACATGCAGGTATTTTCATTCTTAGAGGTGTGTTAGTTAAATGAAAATAAAGAAATAAAAATAAATAGAATGAAGAAAATATTACATCTGTATAATAAAAAAGGTATACATGAAAGAAAATTACGCATTTTTGTTAGGCCCATAGTATTCAAATGATTTCATATAATAATGTAAATGTAAACTCATTACTTGTCTGAATTTGTAGATAAATGTATGTCAACAAACAATACTTATTAGTAACATGAAAATTACATTTCTTTGGGAGGGTTTGCCTTCGCCATGCTTCCTGGAAGTAGGGGTAGGAACTTGACAGCCTCATGTGACAGGAAGGAAGTGAATACCCTTTTTTTTTTCTTTTTTTCTTGAAATCCTTTATTTGGTTGTTTGCTTGCATGTAATTGAGAAATAAAACATGGATAACATCTAGAAAAGTACTTACAAAAGGAAAATGACAAGTATAAACTGCGGCAAGGTGGGCTTAAATAGGTTTTAATAAATGCTAAAAAAAAAAAAAAAGGTTTTAGCATTCAGCAACGAAGATTCTTAGTTCATGACACCTAAATAAACTTAAACTAAACCTCACTGTCAAATGTTCCCGTTGTTGTTGTTGTTATTATTATTATTATCATTATATAATCTCTTTAATTGATATTAACATTCATAAAACTGATTAAATCATTCAGGCATTCATATGTAAACTATTACAGAGCAAATAGTTTGAAAATACAATCAAGAAATTCCAGAGATTCCTGCAGACTCAGTGGTTTAGTTCTCTAGCTGCTTTCTTGCATCTGATTGTGCTTATCCTGCTCTCTGCAGGAGTTTGATTAGCTGGGTCAGGTGTGTTTGTGTGGGGATAAAGCCAAAACCTGCAGCCCCCAAATCCCCCCTGCAGAGTACAGACCACCCCTTCTTTGAGAGATAAAGATAACTTTATATTCCGACCATATCTTGGTTATTTCATAATTCTTGTGATCTCAGACAATAAGCCCACCCATGACAAGAAAGAACAGTTTCTTTTCAGTATCATATTAAAGATTAGTGTTTGACCACTGCATTGTGAATTGCTTCAGTTACCAACTCCAAAAAAAAAAAAAAAAAAAGTTTTACTAGCCAAGAATCCTGTTCTGTCCAGCAGAAGTCCTGATTTTTTGACTGACAGACACCTGATGGAATTTATTAGGATTGCTGAGGGTTTTATGTGAGCTGAGTGAATGATACTGCTTCTTCAGATTTGTATGAGAGCTAAAACTTCGTTTTCATGCTGCTTTACAGTGATTTCCAAAAGCTTATTTTACAGCTAGTCTTCCTGAAGCTTCATCTAATGCTGAAAACTGATCATGTTTAAATGTGTAGTGTTGAGACAAATTCTCTTCAGTGTATTCGTCATGGGTAGTCATGTTGATGTATGAAATCCTTTCATGACGTGTGGAATTTACATGCAAGGATTCCCACAGAAATCGTTTTTTTTTTATTCTGTTATTTTTCCTCTGTTCCCTCAGTGCTGTACAGCTGCTCTGCTCTCTGTCTGCAGGCCAAATCGGCCAGAATGAAGAATGGAGCTGTTAGACGCCTGTGCAAATGAGGACCAGTTGATAAAGTCAGACCCAGAGAAATATGCGTTATTATCCTGAGGCATGTCTGTGGTTTTTCTCAGGTAGGAACCTGTAGCACCTTGGGGTGTCATACCATGATACATAGCTTAAAAATGTCTGTTTCTCACCAGCATGCAAGCTAACCTGTCAAATATTAAAATAATGAATATTATGTTAATTTTTGGGTAAACTATTGCTGTAAAATAAATGTATATTACAAATGACAGATTTCAACTTCAAATAAATGCAGTTCTTTTAAACTTTATTTATCATCAAAGTATCTTAAAAAATGTATCATGGTTTCTTCAAAAACAGCTGCACAAGCAGCAAAACTGTTTTCAACATTGATATCCTCCTTGAGCAGCAAATCATCATGATTTCTGAAGGATCACGTGACACTGAAGACTGGAGTAATGATGCTGAAAATTCAGCTTTGATCACAGGAATAAATGACTAATATGCGAGTATGCATTGAACTGATCGTCAGCTTTTAAGAAGCAGTTTGTGTAAAGCTGTAGTTTGACCTCAGGAGGCAGGCAGGCAGTTGTCACTGGTAATTTGTGACCAGAGACATGGGTTTAGACCTCCGACAGAATAAAAGCAAGGCACTCTAATTTGACACTTAGCACAGGCCATCGCAGATGACCCAGAGCATCAAGGTTTCATTTTACACCAGCCTCTTTGATGGCTTTCCTTACAGCAATTGAAGCACAGCAGTGACAGAAAACAGATACGTTCTGTGACCCAGTGGGAAACGGCGCCTTCGTCCTGCGCTTAAAACACAAGAACGCTTTCACAAGATCTTATTATAAGTGCTTTTATTTGTACAAAATCTACATATAGGCGACAGTCAGTTGTTGAGGATTGATTATATATTAGACATACAAATCAAAGTTTTTGCCAAGGTAATTTGTAAGCATTAGTTGAAAAAAAAAAAAACAGTGCTCCCATAATCTCAAATTATAAAGTGCATCTGAAAATCTGACAGATTAGAATATTTCAGATATTAAAATGTAACGTAAATAAAAATGACTCACATCTGTGACCAAAAAAAAACAGCACTTTTAGCTGTGTAACACACCTCTCTTCACAGATGATGACTGTATAAGTAACTAGAAATTCCCAATGTAACCGGCTAACATCTCTGACATTTGATCAAACAAAATAAATCATTTGCAGGAAACGTGCGCCACCTGGTGGCTTGAGATGAAACAGGTTTACAGTCTTCAATTTCTCAGATTAGCAACGAAATAAATACATCAGATGTGTTAAAGAGACACTCCAACATCATTTCAACATCACATCTATGTTTGTCATTCCAATGTTAACACACAAGAAATGTTTTTTTTTAGCTATGTAGTTTATAAAAATCTGAAGAAAGTATTCAAATATTTATTTTTTGAAACAAACAAAAAAAAAGTGTGAAAAATTGTACAGCTTGTCACTGGAGAAATATCCTTAATGGGACAAATGTACCTTATTTACACCAAAATGTCTCTCAAAGGAACTAATATGCACCTCTTAAAGGTGCAAAGTTGTAATTTCAAAGGTACTGCCCCAGTGTCAAGCTTTTATACACCTAAAGATACAATTTTTGCACTTTTTTTTCTGAAAAGTAAAGTTTAAGGATGCTTCCACTTAAATTGCTTCTAAGAAAGATTGAAAAACGTTTTTCATTTCACTCACATTTGAATGTAGTTACTGGTAACAGACATGATGTTAAAACACGAAATGCTGATTTGCGTTATAATGACAGTTATACATTAAATAGTTTAGTGAGAAAAAAAACTACTTATAATAGTGGCAGTTGTAAGTAAATGTAAGACTGTTAGATTGGAGAGTCATACATTATCAACTCTTGCAATGTGACCTAATATTGGTAAACAGCGAATAACACAATAACTAGTCTGTTCTGCTTATGATTGAGGAATAATGGAAGAACTAATAGTCAGATTTTTTGAACATTGTAGCACAAAGACTGTGGAGTCAATTATGGACCAGCACAGAGAAAAAAGGATGTTTGTGTGTATGGACACCAAAATGAAGTCTTGGAGCTTGTCAAGTCATTTGATCCTAGTCATTAAGCTTTATATATTCTTGAATTCTTCACACTAATGGGCGCAAGACACTGACGGCAAGGATTCTTGTCACCCAAAGAAAATCAAAATACATTCATAGTTTTTCCTCCCATCTCGTTCTCATGCATAATGCTGGTTCCCAATACTGCTTTCTCCCTGAATGCTGACCTGGAAAGCTACAGGTACGTGTCTTCTGAACCCACGCTCTCACATGAGTGACGTAAACCAGGAACTCTGGGAGCAGCGACCGAGTTGCCGTTCACAGGTGTGTCGTCTGGAGGAAGCGGAGTGGAGTCTGTAGTGGGTGGAGGATCTGTCAGGTGGGCTGAGTTGTTGGTGTTGCTCGAGAGTGGCTGGACGGTGACTGCAGGGTTGGAGGAGTGAGGGATTTCGGTCGGATGTGCGGGGTTGGGTTTTGGTGAGGGTTGGGGAGAGAGATTTGGAGACTGTTGAGGTGGTTGTGGATCAGAGGAGGGTGTGTTTTCGGGTGTAGTGAGGTGGGATTGCTGTAGTGATGGAGGAGGATGGTTGGACTGATTGCTTGAGGCCATCTCTTGTGTTTGATTATTAAGAGCGGCTGGTTTGGGGTCTGCTGGCAGGGCATACGGGTTTGGGATGTCCACTGTCGGATTGGGGGCTTTTCGGATAGTGCTTCTCTTCTTGACGCGAGCGAATTCGGATTGAGTGTCTGAGGGCAGGGGGTACTGGACGATGATTGTGGGTTTCTGACGGAGGTCTTGGCGGGTGTGTGGCTCGGCAGACATGACGGCGTGAGCGCCGTGCATTCTGGGAGGGGACTTGTAGCTGAGCTCGCCGTGAATTTTCCGCCAGCGCTTGAGCTGCACGCGGTGCTCTCGCTCCACATCCCGAGAAGATATGGGCAGCTCCAATACCTGCATGTGCAGAAGATAAGCTTCATCATCGTCATTATCCTTGTTGTTCTGACCACTACAACTCAACACCAACATCATGCTCATAAACACTTCTACATAATGCAAATAAAGTGCATCAATAAGAAAAGGTTCCTACATAACAATAAAACCTGTTTATTATGAGTTATCGATTTAATATCCAGTAATGCAAAAAAAATGGTGCTACCTATTGGGTTTTTAAAGAATAGCACCCAGCAGAGTTCATAGTTAAAGTAATTTATTTAAGGCATTGTTCATCTTAATAACATTACGAAATTCAGACATGTATGTTTTTTAAATTATTATTATGATTAAAAACAAAACCCACTTGAGTAAAGCCTTCACATTATATGAATGTATGAATATTTGATTATTTAGTAGTGACGGTTAATAAACCTAAACCTTTAGTTTAACATGGTTTATTATATTTATGCAAAGTTTTTTGTAAATAAATTAATACTTTTATTCTGCTAGAATGCCTTAAATTGATCAAAAGTGACAGTAAATACATTGATGTTACAAAAGATTTCCGTTTAAAAAAAATGCTGTTCTCTTGAACTTTCTATTCATCAACAAATCCTGAAAAAATATATCACAATTTCCAATTTTCACAAAAATATTAAGCAGCACAACTGTTTTCAACATTGAAAATAATACATGTTTCTTGAGCAGCAAATCAGCATATTAGAATGATCATGTGACACTGAAGAAAAAAAATTCAGCTTTGCCATTACAGGAAAAAAGTATATTTAAAATATATTAAAATAGGAAACTATTTTATTTTAAAATCACAAAAATTTGTATTATTTAAATTTTTAAAATTAATTTTGTAATTTTAATTATTAATTTTATTTTATTTATGATTCATTTAATGTAGCCTTGGTGAGCATACTAAGCTTAATAAAAAAAAAAACAAAAAAAAAAACAAACAAACTGACTCCAAACATTTGAACAATGATGTGTGATTAATACTGGGAAAAACTTATAAAGCTGAAGTTTTATTGTAATTATTTTTTAGTTACTAATGTGCAAAACAAGCATTAATAAAACAATTAATAAATACTGGTTCTGCATATCCTGCTTCAGGTATTAGTCACAAATATAAAAATTATTATCTACATCACTTGCAAAAAAAAATCAAATCAGATCTACTCAAAACCCAAATGCAGTACAACAGATTGAGAGCATGTGATACCTGATGTACGAGAAAGCCCTCCTGCATGTAATGTGGCTCCAGGGCCCTGAGAAGCTCCATAGTCTCGTACTGACCAGGACAAGCCTTCAGTTTCTCACGAGATCCCAGCATGCTTTTCAGCATCACCAGGCCAACACGGAATATTATCTTCACTCCTATTGTAACAGCAAAGAACATACAGTCACAAAGAAGACGACAAAGCTGCATGTGTGGTAATATGTGTAAGTGAATCTCACCGTCACACAGGAACATGTCCCACACTCGGAGCACAGACGACCAGGGTAGAGTTCTGGAAAACGCACACATGAACCACTCCGTCATGTAAAGGATGGGCTCTATCTTGTGTTTCTCAAGATGGCGATATGCTGGAGGGCTCACGCGCTTTAATAACGCATTTAAGATCTCTCCATCCAACTGTATGGCCTCCTACAACACAAACAACACTGGCATTAGGACGGCGGGGTTTTTTTCTTTGTCTTGGAGGAAACAGTGCCCTTCTTTTCGGATTATATAACTCACATGTTATATTTACAGCAGCAACTCCACATTCACATTAGAAATGCATGAAGGATCATAGATTAGATCTAAATAAATTTTGCCCACAGCTATTTAATTTACTACCCTACATTTGTGAAACTTTTGAGCAAAAACAAAAGAAGCTTTGGTTTGAATTTTACTGGCACCTAAAGCATATTTTTTCGTCTCAGGAAACATGACTCAATGCTTGCAGATTGAAAACGGGAACATCAGATATGAATGCTATGAATAGAATGCAAACTATGAACTTGAGAACGTGTGTGAGGAACCCAGATAAGGTTTCAATTATCTAAAACTATGAAGTTCATAATAGTTGGTCTTCGTTCACTATGCTCATCATTCAAATGTTTTATTACATGGTTGTAAAATGAAAGACCTTCATAAGGTCACCAGCCAATAGATAATGAACTTTTACACACAATGTCACCTAGGTCTCGCAAGCACTTCCCGTTTCCCCTTTTTGGATTAGATTTGATAAGCAGTAACATTTATTTCTCAAACAGAAAGTAACATTTAGAGGTCTTACCAGGCCTGCGCTGTAATATCCAGGGAGGTACTTCTCACAAATCTGAACCAGCCCCCAAAATGCATCCTGAATACCAATAAAACAAACAAGAATTTATCATTTTAATCATTACTTAATCAATTAAGCATTGCAGCTGCTGCTAATGAGAATGTGTGCTAGAAACGCTAATTGATGCATTTGTGTAAAAATAATATCCACTAAAATGTATAAACCGTAATCTCTAGCTTCCGTGAACTGTCGTAAACTCTGGTGAGAATATGCTAGTCTCATGAGAACCAATTTTTGTTTACAGCAAAGGAAAACCTTGGCTCTTGGCTTATATCAAAATCCTCTGGCATTTTTCTTTATAAATCCTCGTTTTGTACTTCTAAATCATGACCGGTGTTTTGTTTTGCTCTCTCCGCGCTTCCACGTTCGTCACTTCTCACCTGAGCTTATGCTACGCCTATGGCATCTGCTGGAACGCTTCTCTCTCATGAATGAACACAAACATATCTTTTTTTAAATCATATTTTGATTTAAAATCTCGACCACCATTCACTGCCATTATGAAGCTAGGCAGAGCCAGGACATTTTTTAATATGTAACTTAAAGGGGTCACGACATGAGAAACCAAATTTCCCTTGATCTTTTGATACAGAAGAGGTCTTTGTATACTTAAAGGATTAGTTCACCCAAAAATGAAATTTCTGTCATTACATGCTCATCATTCAAATGTTTTATTACATGGTTGGAAAATGCAGGACCTTCCTAATGTCATCAGGCAATAGATAATGAACTTTTACACATAATGTCACCTAGATCTCACAAGCACTTCCTGTTTCCCCTTTTTGGATTAGATTTGTTAAGTAGTTACATTTATTTCTCATATAGCAAGTAACATTTAGAGGTCTTACCAGGCCTGCGCTGTAATATCCAGGGAGGTACTTCTCACAAATCTGAACCAGCCCCCAAAATGCATCCTGAATACCAATAAAACAAACAAGAATTTATCATTTTAATCATTACTTAATCAATTAAGCATTGCAGCTGCTGCTAATGAGAATGTGTGCTAGAATAAGCATTGCAAACAACTTTATAATGCTTTTTACCTCAGCAGGCATGTGCATCAGAAGCACTGCTGCTATAGGAGCCTGAGCCTGGCAGTAACCCTCATCCGGTCTGTACAGGGTATAAGCCTTCAACACCCGGAACAGGTCCTGCTGCCTGTTCAAACAGACAGACCAAATATAATTTAAAATAAAATAAATCAAAAATATAGGTCACATTTTATTTTAAGGTCCAATTCTCGCTATTAACAAACCATTAACTACTACGTTTGCCTCCATAAACTACTAATTTGCTGCTTATTAATAGTTAGTAAAGTAGTTAAGTTTATTGGGTAGGATTAGAGATGTAGAATATGGTCAATCAAGTAAGCATTATAGCTGTTTCTAATGAGAATGTGCACTAGAATAAGCATTGCAAACAACTTTATAATGCACTGTACCTCAGCAGGCATGTGCATCAGAAGCACTGCTGCTATAGGAGCCTGAGCCTGGCAGTAACCCTCATCCGGTCTGTACAGGGTATAAGCCTTCAACACCCGGAACAGGTCCTGCTGCCTGTTCAAACAGACAGACCAAATATAATTTAAAATAAAATAAATCAAAAATATAGGTCACATTTTATTTTAAGGTCCAATTCTCGCTATTAACAAACCATTAACTACTACGTTTGCCTCCATAAACTACTAATTTGCTGCTTATTAATAGTTAGTAAAGTAGTTAAGTTTATTGGGTAGGATTAGAGATGTAGAATATGGTCATGCAGAATATGTGCTTTATAACTACTAATAAACAGCCAATATGTATATAATAGGCATGCTAATAAGCAACTAGTTAATAGTGAGAATTTGTCCCTATACTTAAGTGTTACCAAAATATACAAATAAAATGTATGTATATGAAATTGTGTTGACTAACCCATGACCTCCTCGGGACACAAACATCTCATGGAAAGGGAACTGTCTGTGTAGATCTCTCTCTATCACATCAACCCACTTAGGGTCTCCATCCAGGCTATCCAACTCCTATTCAACAAGGACAGAAACACAGGTTCATCTCATTCATAGTCATAAACCAATAAACATCCTATATGTGTGCGTTTTCATAGCCTAATTTCAAGCTGCACAGGTTTAACATGTATAAACATTTAAAAAAATAGTGGGGCTGTGACTAAGTTTGAGGAACTTTACAGTAAGAGATGCATAATGATACAACAACCTCTAGTGTGACCTCTTCAAATCAGCCATAATCATGTATACACCTGACTCACCTTGAACTTCCCACTGTTCTGTTCTCTTTTCACTTTTCCGCCCGACAGGTAAAGCCAAGCTCTGCCTCGCAATGATGGCGGGATTCCTTTCTGACATCGCAGTCGCACCTGTGGGTGATAGAGGTCTGAACGTCACACACGTTCATGATGTGGAAATATTCAGATAAGCAGGGACCAGCATGCGTTCACCGTGACTACACAAATCTGAGACTGGGCAGGTAACCTAGACGTTTCCCTTTACACAAAAGCCACTTTATGATTTAACATTTTAACTATGCTGGCTCTGATTCTACGTGATGATTTGGGTTCCCTAAAGATTCTTGTCACACAACACTGGCTGCACTGGTTTTGTTGTTACATGTGACCAATAAAGGCAAGAACCAACAGAAAGATGGATTTTCTGCTTATTGCCTTTACATTACTATAGGATGCACAGTATGAAAAAAGACATTCATTTTGAATGTGAGCTTTAGTATTATAATTTTTTTTTTTTTAATTAACTTTAAAGGTTAATAATAGTTCTCCCAAAAATGAGCTACGAAAATACTTTTTGTGCACAAAAGAAAAAAAAAAAAAACGACTTTATTCAACAATTAGTCTTCTCCGCGTCACCCTGGTGCCATTTTGGAGAATATCCGCTGGATGTAAACAGCGTATGCTATTCTGTGTCAGCTGCGTCACACGGATACACTGTTTCCGTTCAGATCAAATCACAACAACATAGGAAACAGATCGGACGGATTTCTGGACTTGGGAACATTTCAGTTGTATTGCTGTCTATACAGGGTCAGACAGCTCTCAGATTCCATCAAAAATATCTTAATTTGTGTTCCGAAGATGAACGAAGGTCTTACGGGTTTGAAACTACATGAGGGTGAGCAATTAATGACAGAATTTTCATTTATGGGTGAACTATCCCTTTAATACATCCTGCAAGTTTCATAGCTTAAAATGTACTCATCATCAATAAAAAAAAAACATTTACGTAATAACCCTCAGAAAACAGCTCGTTTTAGATCCTATGGGACAAGGTGACGTCAGCTGGGCACAGTCGTTTGCATAACCACTCCCTCCAGAGCAACACGTTGACATAGGCCCCACCCACTGGCGTTCAGTTGCTTAATGGCTTGACACTTGATCACGCTAAATGTGAGTGTCGCGTCTCGACAAAAACAAATAGAAATTACTTTCTGACACAGTCCACGTGCTCAAGTCTGTTGTCAATCGGACAAATGGAGCGAAAGAATATTCGCTTTGATGCGTTTGATTTAAACAGCTTGTTCACATCTTTGTACAGACATCAGGAGGATCCCAGCATAAGGAACAAGTGGATGGTTTATTTTCAACCCTTGTATTATTTTCGATTTCTGGGTACGATTTTGATGGAGCAGGTCAAATTGACCCTAACTGCCTTCAATGCAATTCCCTAAAAAATCACATTATTAAAAACAAGAAGGAATCAGGTATGAACAGAATTTTTTTTATATCAGTATTTGTCACACAGTACAAACGATTAATATCAAAAAGTATGATTTTTAAAAATGTGTTTAAGCACATTTTTTAACCCCTTAACTGTTACCGTCCCGCTGGTAGAAGTTTACTTTTATTACTATATTCTATACTACTATATTACAGTTAAATCCTAATCTAATCATGACAAACTATATATCGTTGGAAAGGTCTAAGACTCCTAAATATATATTTTTCCACTGTTTTTGGTTACAAATGATGTAGGAACAGTAATAGATTAATTTATGACAAGAGTGCACCTCAAAACATATACATCATAATAGGAGTTCTGACCTGTCACAAAAATACTTTTTTGTTTCCTTTTTCCCTATCACATGTTTTAGTAATCATCATAAATTATATATAATTTGAAAGCTTAAAACCTCAAAATTCATCCTGTGAAAACCATTTTGAAATTGGACATTGTGTTACCATGGAAATGGTACTTTAAAATCTTTTAGCGGTCTTTTAGAATCAAAACTTTTTATAATCTTGACAAAATACATATCGTTGGAAATGTCTGAGTCTCAAGATTCCATATTTGGTGGTTATTTTGTGACAGAAGTAATACTGAGAGAGAAATTTATACATTTGTGACAGACAAATTGCATCAAAAAAATGTAATGGAGTTTGAATGGCACCCGGTGGCTAGTTTTGGTATAACACCTAAACAAAATTGCATAGGAACCTCAATTTTTTGTTATCAACTTTCAAATTTGGAACACAACTTATTTAGACATGTTCATGGCCCTAAATGAGAAAAAGTTACAACATTTCTGGAAGAAAAAGATAAGATAAATAGTATTTCATATACACTGAAAATAGAAATGATAGCGCACTTTTACCATCTGAGTCTGAGAAAGTCTTTTTCAGCACTGAAAATGCGAAAAAGCTAATTTTTTCCCTTTCCAGAGTAGTAAAACACCAACATAACAACCTATACTCAAGAAATATATTTAATTTGGGTCTGTATAGTTGCCTTGAAACAAAAGAAAAAAGAAAAAGTGGGTCAAATTGACCCGCAAACATCAAAATCATAAATTTATGTGTGTGCACTTCAAACACATCAGTGCATCCTCACTTTGCATGCATGTTCATGGCCCTAAATGAGAAAAAGTCACAAAATATCAAAAATAAAATCACAGATTAATTGGTATATCTGACAGCTCGCAAATAAAAATGAGCCAAATTGACCCGGAACATAATACAAGGGTTAAAAGGCACCCCGGATCGTGTCAGAGGATTGATCGGAGTTTAATAATAAAGAATGAAGTGTAGCGCACCGTCATGTCAGAAGATTGTTCGGAGTATTTAGTTTTGTAAATGAGACACAGTGTCATGGAGAGTTCACAAAGAAACATTTGTTGAAAGATGAAGCAGTACTAGATCTGACTGCATCAACTGTAAGTAAATTATTACATATTGCTTTGGATTTCATAATGTCTGGAAATTACCGTTTTATTTTGATTACGTTGTCAAAACACTCAAATCATGCCGTAGCGAGGGGGCGTTGATACTGATTCCTATGCAATGACGTTAGCCAATCATAACAATGGCCGATTACTGTGAAGTCTTAAAGGACTCACTCATTTGTTTTTAAATCCCCAATAATAATGATCACTTTCTCAGATCAGGCTGTTGACTATTGACTGACACGGCCGTTTTAACGTAGACCCGCCCTGAGTGAGATGTGAACAGTTCGCCATTGTTTCAATGCCGGAGCAGATGTAGACAAGAATGACTCCTAAGCGATTGAGGTGTTTTGTTGTTGGATGTAATAATGAACATAGCAGTCGTCACTTACTCCCGACATCTGAGCCGCTGAAGACGCAGTGGATTACGTTTGTTTTTGAGGGGAATGCACCAAGGTTATTATAGTTTTGAATTTTTAAATTAGTTTTATGACTCCTTCCTGAGCGATTGAGGTGTTCTGTTGTTGGATAATAATGAACATAGCAGTCGTCACTTACTCCCGACATCTGAGCCGCTGAAGACGCAGTGGATTACGTTTGTTTTTGAGGGGAATGCACCCCCGATCTGCCTAAATCTACTATCTTCACGCAAATCATTCATGATCCAGCTTCACCTACAGAAGAAGTGAGTTTTTTTATCAAGAAGTAAAGTTTTTTTATGAATCTGTGCAAATCGCCTTTCCTAATAACATGTTAGTTAGCAAGTTCCGCGGCTAAATGTGGCTAAAGTTTACAGTCTCTCAGAAAGCAGCTCCTCACACCATGGAAGAGAGGGGTGGGGTGAGCAGAGCTCGTTAGCATTTAAAGGGACATGCACCGAAACGGCTTGCTGTGAACAGAGCTGTTTTAACAGGGTAAAAAGGGTGTTTTTTACACTACCATTAAGAAATTTTAACCAAAGTATGTTATAGACTTTTCATTATGAATCATATCAACTTGTGGAAAATGGGCATCTTATGATCCCTTTAAAAACAGCCGGTTTCTGAGAGAGGTTCAGAATGAGGGTTGAAAATAATAATTTTTCAACATATTTATTTGTTGTTTTTTTTTGTGCAAAAAAACGTTATTAACATAGTAAGTAAACCTCAAGGAACATAAAAAAAAAAAATAAAAAAAATCCATGTCATGACCCCTTTAATATTCTTCTGAAAGAAGAAAGTCATACACCTAGGATGGCTTGAGAATGAGTAAATCATGGGGTAATTTTCATCTTTGGGTGGCTTTAAGCAAACGTAAAAATGACAGTAAAGGTAAATGCAAAAATAGGTGAAAATGAGCATGCAGTTAAATATCTAATGTGTCAATATGAATAAAAAAATCTCTAATATCAGCCAATAACTGTAACAGCAGAGATATATCTTGCATTCATTTTTTTAAATTTTGTATGGGATCTTATATTTAGTAAGAGTTATTTTACATCATGGCAAAAAGAAAGAAAGAAAGAAAGAAAGAAAGAAAGGAGACAGACAGACAGACAGATAGACAGATAGATAGATAGATAGAATTTGATAATATAGTAATGTCTATTTCTTCATAATCTTCATTATTTTACCAAAAAAGTAACATTATTCTGGATTTGCCATGAAAATGTCATGAAATTCATCTGGTTTCAGTAAGAACCGGTTCTCAGTTCCCAACCCTAGAATTGCATGTCATTGCTTTCAAACCCTGTGTGACACAAGGACGAGCACACACAGTTGCACAGGCATGCAAACATAAAGGCCAACAAAGACTGTTAAGAAATCCTTTGGCAAAACTCTTCTGTTGTCTTTACCTGAAGACGTCTCACTCCCAGTGAAAGCTTTATACAGCTTGAGAGAAAAACAGAGGTGAACACTCAGACTAATAGATACACACACCACTGAAGAAGACCATATAAGGAGAGCTGATGCGATATCAGGCTTGTCCAGACAGGGTTGCGTTGGAACGACTGTGTCATGGTGTCATTCTGCTGAGGTTTTTAATTAATCCAAGCAACAGTGGGACTGTCTGAGCAAGTCAATGAGAGGAAAAACGAGAAGGGGAAGAAACGAGAAGGAAGACGACAGTCATAATTTAAAGCCCCAAGCCCTGATATATGGAGATGATTTCCTCATGTTTTCACGGTTTGGTGTACCTATGCATCCTCTCTCAGTTCTAGTGCTTACACGCAAGGCATTGGCAAACATCTTACATCATTGATCTGTTCCTGGGAACATGCAGTGGAAAAGAATACAACTGACTGAAGAATCTAGTGAACTTTGATCATAGCTCCTACCTTCTTGAATCTTTTACTGATCCATTTGTCCCAGTGGTTCAGCATATCCAACCATTTGGCTTCCCTGTGCCTTAACACTTCCAGAGGCACTTCTTGAGCCCTGTGTAAGAGAGAAAGAAAGAATGAGAACTCTAATTTTTGATTATCAAAGAAGATGGCAAATATTATTAGTTCTCACAGTTCTCATAACCGACTACAACACGGCAAGATGAAATATGCAGAACTGCAAATTAAATTTGAATTAAATTGAATACAAATAGACTTCATTAATAAAACTTCTGTTCTTTAATATTACTGTATGGAAAATAGCTGCGTAAACATCCTGCTTAACTTCTCCTTTTGTGTTCCATGAAAGAAAGAAATGAAGTGATAAGGGTTTGGATATGAGAGGGAGTAAATAGTGACAAAATCGTGACTTTCTTTTGGGTCAACCATAAAACTATAAAAACATACTACATCAAAAAACACTGAGCTATTTGCAGGAAGAACTATAGCCACTAAACCAACAAGTAAAATAGCTTCTTGTGAACTAGAGACAATGTCATAAACATGTCACTCATCACATGACTGAAGTCCTTCATATAAATACATAAATATCACAAAAAGAGCTGCTGCTAAGTTTTTTGAAGTTTCCAGATGCAGCACATCTAATTTCAACATTGATAACAAATGTAATCCTTATTTTCGAAGGATCATGTGACACTGAAGACTGGAGTAATGATGCTAAAAATTAGGTTTGCATCACAGATAATAATAATAAATTACAACTTATACTAAAATAGAAAATATTTATTTTCAATTGTAATAATATTTCACAGTTTTGCTGTTTTTACTGTATTTCAATCGAATAAATGCAGCCTTGGTAAGCATAAGAGCGGTAATCTGACACCAAATTTATGAACAAGAAAAAATAGTAGTTGAAACTATCTTAATTATCAGAAATTTTAGGGAAGAATAATCTGAAACAATTTCATGACTAATGTAAACAGCCATCCAGTAGATGACTAGACACTTTCATCCATGGAGAATCTCCCTGGGTTCGACCTGTGGTGAACTACTTTGCCTAAGGCTACAACAGTGATGAACAGGCCTGTTATCTTTCCCTTTGTGTTTGCTCTATTCAAATTTAAACCATTTAGCTTGTGGCCGAGACATTTAAATATCAGTTTGCCAGCACACCAACCACCAGCTAGCTTCCCCTTTACTTAGATACCGATCCTAACCACTAGAAATTTGATCTGAAAGCAATGTGTCTTTAAATATTTTTCCTATCAAATTATAACTTGCAAGTTTTACTTCCTTTTCATTTTGCAGAGCAATTTTGACCAAAAACTGAGGAACCTAGAACCGTTTTCATGAGAGTTAGGTTTGGGGCCACTCTCTCTCTCTCTCTCTCTCTCTCTCCAGTAGTTGGCAGAGATGGTGTAAACTCCCAGCACCAGCACTCCCATAAACCACAGGAAACGGAAAGCGGCTGTACACTCAGTACAGAGGGACAACTATCACTTACTCATCTATTCCATGCTCTTTAACAATTCACAACGAATAGCCAGGACTGCTGCCGTCTCAGGCTACTGTTTAAAACCGTTAATTCTTCACAATGGAGTGGTGACAATCCCAAATCCAGGCATATCTGTAAACAACATGAATGTGTTCTTCTCTGTAGACTTCAGTGTCTTTATTTAAGACGCAAACCTGGGGCAGATGTCTCGCTGATAAAAGACAGGAAGCTTTAACAGGTCTGCAACTGCAGAGCAAGTGAGGATGAAACGCCCTGACACTCCATTCAAACCACATCAATGAAAACTAACATTCAACTTTTTAAGCCCATTTCCAATGAAAAGAAAACTGTCAGTTTCATGCATCCGTCAAAACTGGTTCAACGAGTTAGCTATATAAAACAGATCCGTAAACTCTGAAAGCAGATTGCTTTCAGATCTCGGTGAGTTTAAGATACTTGGTTGCATGCTATGTTTTGATTTTGTTTGCTTTAGTTTGACCAGCCATCAACCTCCCATTTATTTATTTTAAAAGGGTGGAATTGTGCTGCTTTGCAAAAAGGGTGTAGGAATGCATTACGCACAATTACTGTTCAATTACTAATATCATGTGAACATTTCACATGGCTGGTGTAAACAATCACATGACATGAGCTGTATACAGTATATAATTATATTACATTCAACAGAAAACAGATATTAAATAATTTTTTAATTGACAACATTTCTGTTTTAATGTATATATTAATTTATATAGAATTATAATAATTTGATAGATTTTAAAATGTAATACTTTATATTTTTTCACACACAAAACAGAACATAGATATTAAAATAGAAAACAGTTATTTTACAAACTGTTCTTTTGTAATGATAATTGTAGAATGAATAATTGACAACACACACACACACACACACACACACACAAACATTAGATAGTAAATATATATATTTTTAAACTGTATCAATTTATTAGTTTTTACTATTTTGTTTCAAATAAATGCAGCTTTTGTAAGCATAACACAAAAAAGACTTTAACAAATCTTTAATGATTCCAAACTTTTGACTGCTAGTGTATATTATTATTATTACTACATTCAAAGGGTTTAACTAAAAGGCTACATCTTCTACCGGAAATAAAGTATACTTCAACTAACTTTTTGTAGAGATGTCGTTATTTATTTGCATTGGGCTACATATTGAATAATAAGCCTGCAAAATATATATAATACATACAGTATGGCATTAAATAGGTTAAGCAACGGTAATTCATTAACACAGATTCTTTAGTTTTGAATGCCTCTGTTTAAGTGCGTCAAGAACCTAAACTATGCTGCTTTCCTACTACTCACACAAACATGCAGTATTTTCCGTTCCACGCTTCATCACGTGAAATCGATCTCCCAAAATCAAGCAACACAAACAGGATCTGATGGGATCCACTGAACAGCCTTGCAATCCAGTGCACTTACGATTCGGTTGAATACTTCTGGGCTCCTCCGATGAATCCATACTTGTCAGTTTGTCTCGAGCTGGTGAAGCCGTTGATTTCAGAGTCCGACCCGAAAGAGCTCTCCTCGTCAAACTGACTGCCCAGAGTCATCACACTTACAGTATCCTCAGACGACAGACGTCCATTCTCCTGCTGAGCCATCATGATCCTCTAAGTTACTAACACACACCCGATGATAAGTTCACTTACAGGTCATCACCTGGCTGCACCCGTCAATAAACATCCCAAGAGAAAACGTGAAATTAATGAGATGATTGAACCCAAAACAGGCCAGTCAAAGCTACAAAGCACGACTTTAGTAGATCACTCCGGTTCACTTTAACTTTATTTCCCGAGTTTTGTAACGTTACGTAGATTTGTGCGTCCTTTAAAGCTACGTCTTCTAAACGGATTATTGTGAGTCTAAATCACCCGAGTTAAATGCTAAATTAGCTTAGCGCGCAACGTGTCACTATCCGACCCACAGTAAACAAACAACGATCACTGAAAATGTACTTTACATGAGCAGAAACGTCGTCCGAAAAATGTGTAAACAACCGGACGAGCGAAACTACGCCTGATTTCCTGAATCACATTTTTCCAGTCCACGGTTTGTCAGCAACGGCTTCAGCGGACTGTTTTCATTCAGCACGCAGAGGTTTGAGGAGGAAACCCGATTATATTCCCAGTCAAGATGCACCAGCAGTGTTGTTTCCGTAATTTAAGTCGAGGTCCCATGGTTGAAAGGTAAATAATCAAGTAATTAACACACACCAGTCGAGCCGTGTTTTTAGTGTTAGGGTGGTGGTGATGATGATGACATTAGCGCTAAGTTTCCAGTCTTTCGCTGTTGCGTTTGACAGTTCTGCACATGCGCGTCTGTGTCACTTCCGGAATCCACAGGGTATTAGCATATATTGTTCTAAGGAATGGATTTGGGCCGTTTCTCGAGGTTTAATCTTTATGTGACATATGTCAATCTTTCTGTGTTCACCTGTTTCAGAGCTGTATGATTTGTGATCCTGGACCACAAAACCAGTCATTAGTCATTAACAGATTTATACATCATCTGAAAGCTGAATAAATAAGCTTTCCATTGATGTATGGTTTGTTAGGATAGGACAATATTTGGCCGAGATACAACTATTTGAAAATCCGGCATCTGAGGGTGCAAAAAAAATGTAAATATTGAGAAAATCGCCTTAAAGTTGTCCAAATTAAGTACTTAGCAATACATATTACTAATCAAAAATTAAGTTTTGATATATTTACAGTAGGAAATTTACAAAATATCTTCATGGAACATGATCTTTACTTAATATCCTAATGATTTTTGGCATAAAAGAAAAATCGATCATTTTGACCCATATTGTTGGCTGTTGCTACAAATATACCCGTGCTACTTATGACTGGTTTTGTGCTCCAGGGTCACATTTTCGTTCTTGTTTGTTCCATAGATTTTTTTTTTCAATCATCATTATTCATAAATGTGTTCAGCAGAAGAAAGAAATTCTTTATTTGACTTTATTTTAATGTTAATTCCTAATATGTAAACAGCCAAAAAGACAGTCAGTCTATGAATATGGTAGCACTCACTTTCATTGTATAAAATGGCTATTATATATCAATAATGCCATGGTAGCAGTAAAAATAGAGGACATATATATCTAATACTGGCAGTAATACACATTCTAGCAGACTGTTTTACAAATGCACTGAATAAAATGGCATAGAAACATTTGTTTAATATAAATTGCTAATAAATGTCACAATTGATTACAAAGAAACAGCAAGTACCACAATTAATTAAACGTGAAAATTTGTATAAAATGTAGAAAGACTGAGTTTTTCCTCAATAAACTCATAATTTGCTGCTTATAAGGTTGTTAAGTATTGGGTCAGGTTAAGGGGTGTAGAATATGATCATGCAGAATAAGGCATTAATATGTGCCTAAGTACTAATAAACCGCCAATATGCTAGTATTACACATGCTAATAAGCAACTAGTAAGAATTGGTCCTTAAAATAAAGTGTTACCATAATCTTTGTTTTATTTACAACTTTGCAAAATCATTTTTTTTACAATGTGGCCACTCTTTTGAACAATGAATCTTCAGTGACATTTAAAGAAGTAGTCCAAGCTTATGTATTTCTTTCTGAACACAAACGTTGATATTTTGAAGAACATTCACAGAAAAACAACACTAAACAGACAGTTCTCAAGAAATCTTTGTTAGTTTTCAACAGAAGGAAGAAAGTCATACTGATATCTCTTGACCATTTCTGAAAAGGCTGAGTTTATCATATTTAAAACACCATTTTTTCCCTCTCACACATAATGCATTATTTCATCTACATTTGAAAGAATTAAACAAAGCATAGCAACTGCGTATAAAGTTTATTAGAGGTTTGAGAAAATGTGCCACTTGCAGTCCAAGAATTCAAGGGCCTCACAAAGTTCCAGTTACTAATTGCAGTTTAACAAACCATCTGTAGGGGGCAGCAATTACAGACAGAATTTACAAGTGAGCAAATATCCTATAATGTTCAGTTAGTTATGCTCAGTATAATATGTATGTATTCTGCTTATAATAATATAATGGAAATGTAATTTTATAAAACTGAACTCAATGAGTTAGCCTTAATATCATGCAATTTTTTTCTGTTAAAAACTTATGAAACTGTGTTGTTTTGTAGTGCACTGCTCTTAACAGTACAATTACATGTGACAGCAAGCAATAGATTTGTATTACTTCTTGCCTTTATTATATCTAGTTTTAATAATGAAAGCTGTTGATATGCCTGAGGGCTGACATGAACAGAATTGCAGACTGAGGAAGTTCAAATGAAAGATTTGTCTTTATTCAAGACTCCTCCTTTTCATCACCATGCGTGATAATGTAGCAAAGTGATTTATAGTCAATATTCCCAGTCACATCTATTGGAGCCACTGCAAAAGCCTGGTCAACCTGAAAGAGAATCAAGTAGATTAGAACATCATTAGAACAAGTGATTCTGTATAAAAGTACACATCCATATCACGGCGCCTGATAATATAGGCTATCAAAAGCCCATTGATGGTGAAAGATGGGGAACATTAGCTGCATCTATTGATTTTTAATGCATTTTATGTGACTAAATATATTTTTTAATGCAATTAGTATTTATAGATGCAAATATTAACCTCTTCTGCTGTGAATTTATCCGCTTGGTTCATTAGCAGCCTCCTGAACCTGAAACAAAATGACACCAAATCCATCAGTTGTTCTTAAAAATACAGTAACGTTTTTTTTAAAATCTGTTTTATACACTTACTCATCCTTATTGACAACTCCTGAAGCATTTGGGTCAAACAGTTTAAAAGCAGCAAGAATGGTTTCTTCTGGGTCTGTGCCTGTTTGGAGATAGGAATATTGCACAGATTATAATAAATCCTCCATTCAAGTCCCTTATAGACTTGTTTCTTATTCATCAAGGCCTTAAAATCTTGAAAGTTTAGTTGTCATACCATTGAGCTTTTCTCCGAAGAGAGTGAGGAAGACAGTAAAGTTGATGGGCCCTTTTCCCTCTGTTAACATAGACTCCAGCTCTTCATCACTCACATTCAGCTTTCCTGCACAAACACAGTAGGCTACTCAATGCTTATCTAAACAGCTGTCTGCGTCTGATGTTTCAGATGTATAATGAAAGTATTCTGAAACTCTCCAATGCATTTTATATACCTAGTTGTGCATATGTTTCCTTCAGATCAGCTTTGTTAATAACTCCATCCCGGTTCTGATCTATGCAGCCAAATGCCTGTAAAAAGCATAATATAGTTATTATATTTAAGCAATCATATCAACTGCTGCTGGTGTCTATATGTGATTTTTTTTTAATCATATCAAGTACATTTTATTTGTAGTGCTTTGCACAATACACATTGTTTCAGAGCAGCTTTACAGAAAATCATGATGTTAATGTTTATAATTCCTTAAGATTTTTTATTTTTATTTTTAATTTTTTTCCAAATTTGGTTTTTAGATAATATAAAGACTGACCTCTTTAAACTCCTGTATTTGTGATTGCTCAAACATGGAGAAGACATTTGAGGAGCCCCTTTGAGCAGTTTTACCCCTCTTAGCTGCAGCTTTCTTAGCCTGTAAGAAAGACAGAAAAATAAAAGAAAAATAATCATTAAAAGCACACAGTAGAGTGTTTAATCCACAGCAATATATATACATATTTAGGCTTTTTAAAATTACTTTTTTTTTTTTAGATGAATGTCAGTTTGAGAAAATATTTATGATTTTTAGATTATATTTATATTTATGCCTATATTATCCAGCAGTCTTAATATAAGAATTACATATCATTCAAGAATTACATTATATATCCATTATATTAAATTTCACATTAATTGTCATTATAAAAGTAGCTGTGTTCACTCACCATGTTGACTGTCTCTGTGTTTGTGCTCCTGGGTCAGTGGTGTTGCTAATGCAGTCTTTAAGTATGAGGACTCTTATCACTCATTTCTCTATAAAAGTCTGCAGTGCTTCTGTTAGTCCCCTACATGGGCACCCAGAGCCTCCTAAATACAGGAGCCCTGATAACTGCTCAAGTACTCAGATTCCAGTGGGGTGGAAAGTGAGATAAAGTGACTGGAAGGGGAGAGTAAATGGGGAACGTTTTAAGAGATGAAAATACTGGATGCAATGAAAACGAGAAAGTGAATGAGAAAGAGGGAACAGTAGTCTTGTTTGTTTAACTGCCTGACATATAGTATGCATATGACTTTATCATATTGTTTCTCTGTTCTCCACTTTTACTGGTTTATTGTGTGTGTGTGTGTGTGTGTGTTTTGCAATTTGTTTTATTAGTGACTGTAATTAAATGCACTGATTTTAAAGGTTATTAAAGTGTTTGAATAAACCTTCCAGAAGTGTATTAGGTATGTCTTGATTAACAAAGGTCCAACAACATTTGTGCAAGTGGCATAAGTGAGCACTTGATACATGGCACATGTCTGATTATACATTGATTTGTAGTTGACGGCTATGGGGTTTAAAATGAGCTGAGATTCATGCAGAGTTCAGCCTCAAAACACCTGCCTGGATGTTTCTACAGATCCTGAAGACCCACATTGGCTGCTTCAGTTGTGTTTAATTTAGGCTGGAGATAAATTCGACTGGAAAGTGCCTTTAAGAGTGAGACTGTACACCCCTGTCAATGTGCTTCCATTGACAAATATTAAATATAGAAACTGTAAGGGATACTGATGTTGATATAAATTAAATAAAAAGACTTCAATGCTGCTAAATCCATAGTTCTAATTTTGTTATTGAGCAAACCAAAAAAAAAGTCAATTATATTGTTAACATTCCTGTATCTGACCATAAACAGCTGAATTGATTTTCTTTTAATAATCATTCTTTCTTTTTCTCATTTCAGAGAACTGAAAGGAAAAGAGGCAGAAGTCTGATGTAAGCCAGATTTTTACAGCTTGAACCACGTTGCGTGACCTCAGACTCTTGAAACAAATTAAGTTTTGTCCCACTTTTACTTTTCTAAGAAAGTTCCTTTTATCATTGATTGTGTTAAACTGTTCTTAAATACTAAAAATGACTCAAGTGGAAGTGGTTTTCACTTTGTAATGGTCAGAAATATGTTGACGTAGTACTGAAATGAATTTGAATTGTTAATACTGTTTTAACTAACACTTTTAGTTTTAAGTGTTTCAACAAAACTGATTTAGAATCGGCATTGCAGTGTTGATTCAGCTTTTTTTTAAATGTCAACATTTTCAATATTACCTGACGTCGCAAACATGATGTTGAATAAACAGCACATTTTAACATTGCTTCAACAATATTATTGATTA